CTCAAAGTGGTCATCCATCGAGCAGCGCCCAACAAACGAACAAGAGAACACGCTTGTTCATCGCCCTGTTCGATTACAATCCGAAAAAAATGCCACTTAATTCGGAAGCATGCGCTGAGCAGCTATCCTTCTCTGAAGGCGACTATATCAAGGTCTTTGTCAGTCAGATTCTCTGATCGTCTGTATCATGTATTCATGTATTAGTGAGATTTTTCGCTTACAAATTAATTTGGTAGGTGTATGCTGAGAAAGACACGGATGGATTTTATTGGGGGGAATGTCACGGTAAACGAGGCTACGTCCCTTGCAACATGGTTGAAGAAATTAAAGGGAGTAGGAGAAGATGGAGAGACATTTACGCTAATATGCCTATGAAGAAAATGATAGCGCTCTATGATTATGATCCTCACGAATTATCTCCCAACGTTGATTCCGTAAGTTCCCCAAAAGAAAAGAAAAGAAAAGAAAAAAAAAAAAAAGAAGGCAACAAAGTTTCTTCATTAAAGATTAGAAATGTCCGCGAGTTTAACTTACACACTTTTATATATTTTGACTCTACAGCAAGTGGAATTGTCATTCCAAACTGGGAACGAAATCTATGTATATGGTGATTTCGATGGTGATGGATTTTATATGGGTGAATTGAACGGTATGCGTGGCTTGGTCCCATGCAACTTTCTCGGTGAAGCACCAGATCAACCGCCACAAGAACAACTCCCTCCAGGAAATAGAAGACCACCTAATCAGAGTCAAGGGCCCGGAGTCAAAGGACCGCCTCCTCCGCCTCGGGAACCGCCACCACCCGCAGGTCATCGACGAGGCAAAGGTAAAAAACTTGAAGTTGACAACCATTCGAATTTTTTCTTTTCCTTGTCGCGAATTCTGGTACAAATAGCTCCTCAAGCCAAGTACACGGACTAGCTAACATTCTCATCATTATTATTATTATTATAATTATAATTATTATTATTATTATTATTATTACTCTTCAACATTTTGTGAAGCAAAATGAAGTTGAAATTTATGAAACGGCAGAGTAAGCGAGCAGCAGAAAACCGAATGCAGTGATAATCAAGATCGAGACTGAGAAGATTAAAAAAAAAAGAAAAAAAAGAACTGGCTCGAGGGGTTGAAAAATTATATTCACACTGGCGCCGTGTAATTATAGTCGACACGAGTTAATCTGCTAAGAATTTTAAAAACGGAAGAAAAGAAGAAAGAAAAAAAAACTGGACGTCAGTGTGAATGAAAAATAATAATAACTAAATAAAAGAGTACAAAAAAAAAAAAAAAATAAACAGCAAGCAACACGAGACACGAAACTAGATGTGCCAGACGACAGGCAGAAGGGTCACACAAGTTTGATATGATTGAGCCATCTATGTAGGAATGCCCGATCGTCATAAGTCGAAGCACAGCTTACAATTTTTTTAGGAGTGTATCTTAATCTTGCAAAAATTATTTCTAATACAGGATAATGCAACGTGAATGTCAACTATTTCGATAAAGACATTCGAGTAAGTCATCCGGTGCGTTTGATCCCTCAGAAGAATATTTTAAAATAGCATTTTTGATAGCAAATCTCTAGGAGCTCGTTCGAAATTATCGGAAAATCAACAGTAACGTACACGATTAATGTGTGAAAGCTATTTTGTAAATTTTTCTAGGAACATGTGTATTGCCATATGCAAAACGATTTTCTATACCTATCTATCTATCTATCTATTTATCTATCTTTCTATCTATCTATCTATCTATATATTTATGTATATATATGTATACATATATATTGTATATATATGTATATATATATGTATACATATATATTGTATATATATGTATATATATATAT